GATAAATATCATAAAGCCTGCCATTTGAAATAAAATAAATTTTAAGATTATTAGCCAATTAAAAAGCTTTTATGAGGAATTCTTTTCAACGTTCGATAACTTTGCGTAAAGCTAATGTAATCAGTGCAGTTCTTCATAAGGCTCATCGCAGATAAAGCAATTAACATATTTTCCGACAAAATTCCCGTCGATGTGCAGCCATTCGTTTCTTTTTAATCATTTTCATGGCCTTTTTACAAGGTACTTAGATCTTCTCCCTACTCTTGGGATTCTAATTAAGGATGAGAAAGTAAATACGGACGTATTCAAACTGAAATAAAAGATTTTCATATGTCGATTAATATAATCGGATTCCGGATCTTTTATCAACTCACCTGTCCATAATTGGTCATTTTAATTCCCGTCCATAACAACGGACTCCAAAAACGTTCTTCCTTCAAAATCAACCTTTCTATGCACTAATAAACAATGACTCATTAACTTATCCTAATTTTAAGACAAGTTGACCTAGCAGTTTAAAACGTGACAAAATTCTATTAGAATAAATCATTGTTGAGTCAAATTTCTTTAATCATCAAATCTAATCAACTATAGTTGAAAGATTAAGTAATGAGAGGATGTAAAAAGAACATGAAAAAATAAATTATTAACATTATAAAACAGTGCGGATAAAAGTGCCGAATATTAATAACAGTAGATTCTAAAGGATTGAAAAATGAGAAATTCATGGAAAATGAGAATATTTTATTTTGAGTATATCAAAGTATAAGCATTTAACCATCGAAAAAGGTCAGCGCAAATAATTGCTAGGAATTATGAATTATTCCTGTTTGGCCTGCGTATCAACATTACTGATGGGCTTTTTATCCCTGTTGAGAACTGCAGAGGAGATATTTAGATAAGAAGCAAAGCACAACCAAGCGATGTAAGGAAGCATCAAATAGCTGGCTCTATGATCGATTGGATAGAAGAGATAGGCAGAAGCACAGGCACCAAAGGTGGTTGCAAGGATAACCACAATTGACTAAAGCAAAGGATAACATTACCTATGAAAAACAATATTAATACTTACTGCTTTAAAATTTTTTAAACCGAAATAAATGGGAGTCCATGACCAGTTAAGAAGCAGCTGTGAACCATAAACGCAAAGAGGAAGGGTGACGTCAGCACCCTTATCAGTCGCTTGTAAGACATATAAGGAAGCAAGTCCCATAGAACCATAAAGTAATGACCAAGCGGGAGCAAAAACCCAGGACGGTGGTGAGAGAAAAGGCTTATTTAGACTCTTGTACCATTCCATATTATTTTTCGTAATTGGTCTCCCTAAAATGCCCCCGATAAATGGCAGGCCTACACATCCAGCTGCTCTTGCAAGCTCGTAAAGCGGCATTTGTGAAATGAATTACAAAAACGATAGAGGCCAATTATATCTGTTGAAAAGTCGTCTTAGTCCCAAGGTCATAATATCAAACCAAACTGATTAAACTAAAATAACTTTAATTTATTTTTGTTAATTTAAACCAAAGTTGTTAAATATTTATTACGCAATTATTTTGAACTATGTGAAATATGGATCCTTACTAATCACCAACATATTATTATTTATTACATTTTTAATAAAAACAAGTGAAAACAAACTTTTTCAAAAATGAGTTAAAAATGCTCCCGTATTTACATTTTTATTCCAGAATTTAATCGAATACAACAGTTGAATAATGAAAAGGATTTGAATTATTTCCAGATTGGCCGCCTGGTGATAACTGTAAGTTTCCTTCATATAAACTTCCAACAATTTCAGTTTAATTTCTTGTAGTTCACAAACTATTATCTTACGTCAACACATTTGTTAGCATCTAGGCGATTTTTTAATCCCAACCAATATCAGTTCAATCGAAACTAATTATATATAAAAACGTACGGAGACACTTGATAACAGTTCTATAATAAATTTAAATCAAACCATTCATGATGATGGATCAGTAAGGAGGTGGTCGGTTAGTCGACCCGATTCTTTAATAAATTTGATTTAGATAAAAAGCATTTCTTAGATAAATGACGGCCATGTTTCGAAAAGTTGATTGGTATTTGTACAGATAGTTCTATGTAAATACTCAAAGACAACCAGATCAACTGCAATTACTTTAATCGAGATCTTATCGACAGTCAAACATTACTAATGGTCAGATATTAGTACGATATCCTCAATACGTAAGGTAGACATAAGTTAGCTTCTATTTGAACAATATTAATTGACCATCTACCAATCAATAAACCATTGTGTACTCTAAATTCAGACAAACATGTGTAAAGATAAAAGAATGTGTCCTTGATTCGGCGAAATAAATGAAAAAATTAAAGTAACTCACGATTATTAATGCCTTGGAAGCCATCCGAGACGGTGTGTATGCAAAATTGAGCTTGATACTCTTTAACAAAATCAGAATATTGTGATGAGTCATTCAGTTATACATCTGGTTTCACTTATTTTTACTTTATTTCATTTAAAATAAATTAAACAAAATATCGTGATCAATAGATGTACATCAAATATAACCTCTTCTTTCATCTTTTCCGTCTTCTCCAAGCTTTCACTCATTATGCTTTTTACTTAGCATCCCCCAGTTGCTAACTTTTTAGTCAACGCTGGTAAAATGGATAACATTTGGATTTGTCAGCAAGTCGAATTGTCGGTATCAGGCTTTGAAGATAAATTAATTTGAGCTATTTTGGCTCCTTCTGAAGGTATCCATTTTCCTTTTTGTGAAGATTTTAGCCCCTCCCAGGGTTGTGGCGGATTGCTACCTTAGTAAAGCCTGACCGACTCAGAAATCTCTATGGCAGATTCTCCAACATCTAGCTAGACTCCCAGAACCAGCTAAGCTATAGCCCAGCTATGAAAGGAAACAGACGTGTAGCACGGAGCACGTTTATTCAGTACGCATATTGCGGATAAAGTGTACACGCAGGAAGCTTAATCATGATCAGGATGGGGGATTAGGTTAAACAAACAGAGGTTAATGATTGGTCACTGTTTGTACGGTCGCACCTCCCAATCATGGCGTGCAACC